GGGGCTGGATCAGTCCTCATGTCCATGGTCCAGGCGTCACCCCAGGGGTCATCCCAGGAGCCTGGGGCTGGGTTTGTGTGAGCTGGACTGGGTCCATCCCAGTGTCCGTGGTGTTGGGATGATCCCAGGGCTGGGTTTGTGTGAGCTGGGCTGCCTCAGTCCCTGTGGCTGTGGTCCAGGGCAGAGCATCCCCAGGGGTCACCCCATGTCCGCGGTTTTGGGGTCATCCCGGGGCTGGGTTTACACTGAGCTGGGCTGGGTCAGTCCCATGTCCATGGTCCAGGGGTCACCCCAGGGGTCATCCCGGGACCCTGGGGCTGAGCTGGGCTGGGTCATTCCCCGTGTCCCTGGTCCTGGGGTTGCCCTGGGACTGGGTCAGTCCCTGTGTCGGGGTTCAGGGGTCACCCCAGGGGTCATCTCAGGATCTGGGGCTGGGTCAGTCCCCAGGGTCATCCCAGGAACTGGGATTGGCTTTGCTGTGAGCTGGGCTGGGTCAGCTCCTCTCCCTTGTCGGTCTCCGGCCCTATTTCCCAGCAGGCCCCACAGTTTGTAAGGCCAATCCCCTCATCCCTTTCAATCTGAAGGAGAAAAGGGACACCCAGTAAAGCCGTCCCAGTGTCTGAGCAGTGTTTTGGTGCTTTCCCAGTTGACCACGTGGTCCCCGAGCCCGGCACCAGTTTGTGAGGACACCTCGATCTCATTCCTTTCAATCTGAGGGATGGGAAAGGCCAATAATTTGGGATATTATTGATGAGGGGCCTGTCCCGTGTCCCCGCATCATTCTGAGGACAAGGCTGTGGGATTTCCTCACCGAGTTACTCACCTGGAAATGGTTTTAATGGTGTTCAGTCATTGCTGGAGATGGGAGCTGCCTGAGAACCCTCTCAGTGCCCCACAACCCCTGGAATTTATGGCTCCATTATCGCCCCTTTTCCCTGTCGGTCTCTGGCCCTATTTCCCACCAAACCCCACAGTTTGTAAGGACAATCTGCCTCATCCCTTTCAATCTAAAGGAGAAAAGGGACACCCAGTAAAGCCGTCCCAGTGTCTGAGCAGTGTTTTGGTGCTTTCCCAGTTGACCACGTGGTTCCCAAGCCTGGCACCAGTTTATAAGAACACCTCGCTCTCATTCCTTTCAATCTCAGGGATGGGAAGGAGCGATAATTTGGGACATTATTAATGAGAGGCCTGTCTTGTGTCCCCACATCATTCTGAGTACGAGGCTGTTGAAAATCCCAAATTTCCTCACCGAGTCACTCATCTGGAAATGGTTTTAATGGTGTTCAGTCATTGCTGAGGTTGGGAGCTGCCTGAGAACCCTCTGCTGCCCCACAGCCCCTGGAATTTATGGCTCCATTATCGCCCCTTTTCCCTGTCAGTCTCCGGCCCTATTTCCCACCAAACCCCACAGTTTGTAAGGCCAATCTCCTCATCCCTCTCAATCTGAAGGAGAAAAGGGACACCCA